GTGACGCTTTCATAACGTATTCCTAAAAGTTTGTGATTATTTTGAAATGAAAATGAAAAGAATTCTATTAGGTTCTAAAATTTTTATGTGTATGCTTGTCGAGCATCAATCTCGCTAAAAAAGGGGAAATATTAAAGAAACCAGGTCTAGTATTCACCGTGCGTGAGATGGATATTATACCTGCTTCATAAATCCTCCTGAGATTTTTATTATGAAAATATTTTAATACTTTCACGGAATCGAAATCGAAATTATGATCTGCTTTAGTTTGTGTACAACTAAAGCATTGTTAAATACCGAGACGAATATCTCGTTTATGTTCGAAAACACGAGATTTTACGGACCTACATGTTTCACCCACATATTTTAGGTCACAGTTTTTGCATGATATTTGTAGATGCAAGCATCGGATGTAATATGTTGTCTGCTGGTGCTATTTAATAAACTACGGATAGTCCTAGTAGGTAATATAGTAGTTCTAATTTTTAATGCATTTAGATTATGAGAGATACGTTCGGTCAAATGGTTATTTGGTAAAAAGATGCGACCAAACGAAATATTATCAGAGGCAGCTGAAATTGTATCTTTCATTGATCTAGTTGTAGTGGCCTTCGAGGTGTCATTTTGCGCTGATGAGTGAATTTTCAACGCTTTATTTTTAGCTCTCTGTAATAATTGTCTCGGATACGAAAGATTTGAAAAGGTATCCTCAATATATGTAAATTCATCATTTAAATATTTTGATGAACAGATGCGAAGAGCCCTCAAATAGAATCCAATAACAATACCCCTCTTAGTGTTAGTATCATGGTGAGAGTAAAAATGTAAATAGTCATTTTTACATGTAGGTTTACGATATACTTTGAATTCTAATTTATTTTTATTTTTAATGAGTAATATGTCTAAAAAAGTATACAAATTTCTAAGAATCTAAAAGAATTTAATAGGTCCTATAAGAAACTCATATGTAATGAAGATAAGATTTGGCTTTCCCTTATTAACTACCACCCGACCGTCCCTAAAATTTATGGCCTCCCCAAAACCCATAAGCTTAACATTCCATTAAGGCCCATCATCTCGGGTATAGGCTCAGCTCCTCATAATATCGCTAGGTATTTAACTAAATTTCTAACTCCAATTCTGGGCACCGTAAGTAACGCACATATAAAGAATTCAGGCTCTCTTTTAAATAAGTTGAGAAATATTGATATAGATAACAAATTACTAGCTAGCTTAGACATCAAATCTTTATATACTAATATACCTGTTGATAAATGCATTAAACAATTAGAGAACCACCTTAAGAAAATTGACTTTAAGCTACCTATCTCTATCTCGAAATGCATCAAATTATGCATCCTTTGCACTTCACATTGTTTCTTCCAATATAATAATATTTATTATAAACAAAAATTTGGTTTACCGATGGGGAGTCCCTCTCTGGATTCCTAGCATGCATATTTCTAGAATTTCTTGAATCTGGACCTTTTAAAGATGTCATTCCACCTGATACACATTACTTTCGATACATCGATGACATTTTATTTATCTACCCACATAAGCATGATTTAAACGAGATTACTGATAGATTAAATAGAATAGAACCTACTGTAGAATTTACCTATGAACTTGAATCTAATAATTCCTTACCTTTTTTAGACATATTACTCATTAAAAATAAAAATAAATTAGAATTCAAAGTATATCGTAAACCTACATGTAAAAATGACTATTTACATTTTTACTCTCACCATGATACTAACACTAAGAGGGGTATTGTTATTGGATTCTATTTGAGGGCTCTTCGCATCTGTTCATCAAAATATTTAAATGATGAATTTACATATATTGAGGATACCTTTTCAAATCTTTCGTATCCGAGACAATTATTACAGAGAGCTAAAAATAAAGCGTTGAAAATTCACTCATCAGCGCAAAATGACACCTCGAAGGCCACTACAACTAGATCAATGAAAGATACAATTTCAGCTGCCTCTGATAATATTTCGTTTGGTCGCATCTTTTACCAAATAACCATTTGACCGAACGTATCTCTCATAATCTAAATGCATTAAAAATTAGAACTACTATATTACCTACTAGGACTATCCGTAGTTTATTAAATAGCACCAGCAGACAACATATTACATCCGATGCTTGCATCTATCAAATATCATGCAAAAACTGTGACCTAAAATATGTGGGTGAAACATGTAGGTCCGTAAAATCTCGTGTTTTCGAACATAAACGAGATATTCGTCTCGGTAATTTTAACAATGCTTTAGTTGTACACACAACTAAAGCAGATCATAATTTCGATTTCGATTCCGTGAAAGTATTAAAATATTTTCATAATAAAAATCTCAGGAGGATTTATGAAGCAGGTATAATATCCATCTCACGCACGGTGAATACTAGACCTGGTTTCTTTAATATTTCCCCTTTTTTAGCGAGATTGATGCTCGACAAGCATACACATAAAAATTTTAGAACCTAATAGAATTCTTTTCATTTTCATTTCAAAATAATCACAAACTTTTAGGAATACGTTATGAAAGCGTCACCCATGTGACGACGGCGTGACCATGTTAGACGGAAGGCTGATCATTTTAAAAATTTTCAGTTATCTGTTTTGAATAAGACTTGTGTTTTTATGTCCATCGTATTTGTCATATTGAACTGAATTGTATTTTAATGAATATTGTCTTGAAAAAGGTTTATTAAACCGAAACGTCAGACGTCGACATTTCATTCATTTTAACTACATTTAAGGATTTTTGTTTGTTTTTTCAGAATTTTTCTTCATTCTGTCGGATTTATATCCATTTACACTTGCTTATATATATATATATATATATATGTTGCGGACCCGGTAGCGTGCAGTGCTGGTTTAGTAGAAAAATGGCCTTGTGCCAGACACTACACTAAACTACCGAGTCCACAAACAATGTATAAAAAAAATGCGTGAATGAACAGTGAGGAAAGGGGTCAATCAACAAGTGCATAAATTATAAATATTAAAGAGATAACCTGAATAGAATAACAAAGGCGTCTGGATGCAAAACGTGTAATTTTTATTAGATGGAAAACAAGTAGATTATCTCGTGGTACGAGATCAGAGAAAATGTTCCGCGCCAAAATAGGAAAGCAAGATGAACAAGGCGGGAAAAAGGTTCTGGAAAAAGGACTCGTTAACACGAGGTGTAGGTGCGCACAGATAAAAAGTACTCACTGTGGATTTTGGCATTGTGAGTGTATGTGATTTTTTGTGTTTTTATCTTTTTTTATGTTCAGGTTCAAAGTAGTTTGAAAGTTCAGTCGTCTCAGATTTTGGTCAGGCATTGAATTAACTGCTGGAAATTTTATCGGGTTGATGTGGACGTCTAGCCAAAAGGACGAAGAATTATTTGCAGTTGGTTGCATCGTCTTGGTGAAGTTACTTATGGCGAGTCAAGAGAGACGAAGAATTATTTGTAGTGAGTTGCATCGTCTTAGTGAAGTTGTTTATGGCGAACCAAAAGGGACGAAGAATATTTGTTCGTCAGTAAGATATCCCTGTCTGTATTATGGTTGACTGACGAGGGATAAAAATAAGTCACTTGTTGATACGAAATTCTGCCCACGACTGTGTCGTGTATCTCGGACGTCTTCTAACCGAAAACGGAGAAGGTCTGACCTGCGGGTAGCATCAAGACGAGAAGAAGTCTTGGGAAAGTGTGAGGTCGACATGTTGAAATAAGATATTCCGGCCCGCATATGGGTTAAGGGCACGGAATAAATAAGTTGCCCGTCTAGTCAGGTTGAAGATCGGGAAGCAACTGGCTTGCAAACGCTGTTCGTTTGAGACGCCAGGAAACGCGCGGGAAAAGATTCAAAATCTGTTCGGCTGACTTCATCAGCAGGAGCTATATCGACCTTCCTCCTCCAGATTACTGCTACGTCTAGCTGTGAGAGAGAGGAAGGGGTGCAAACGCGCGCACACACGCACGAGTGTGGAAGAAAGGGAGGAAAACTCGCGCGCGCGTAAAATGTAGATGGAATTAGTGTGTTAATTCCATATATATATATATATATATATATATATATATATATATATATATATATATATTATTTAGGCAGCGATCCTTCATTTAAATATGTTTCATTAAAACGACAGATATTACTGCGATTAAGCTTTTTACTTAATTTTTCTTGTGTTCAAACAAGTGTTTTCTTTCCTGGACACAGTGTGTGAATAAACTGTCCAAATGTTTCTTAATTCCGAGCGCTTTCGGCTATACTTTTAGCCATTATCAAGGATAATTTTGTTTTTGATTTTTAACTGGATGTATAGGTTGTGTGTATGTTTATAGAGTTATAGGGACGTTTTATTTTCCGAACACAGTCAGCATATTGTGGCCATGTTTGTAGTTAGTATTACTGAGTATTGGTTTTTTTTCTTTATTTTATTATTAAGGCTTCCATTACTTTTAATCTTTTTTACTTGTGGATGAGGTTATTATGTTTGTATTTTCTACTAGTATGTTTCGAATGGAATCTGGTAAGTTTGTGTGTATGTTTAAATGGGTTCTAATGGAGCTGTGGTCGGATAGGTGTAATATAAGGACTCTGTGTATACATGTACATATAAACACACACACACACACACACACAGACACACACAAACAAACACTAAAAAACGAACAACTTTAATCGTTTATAATTAATATATAACAGTAACGCCAAGGGAAAAAGAAATAAAATACTAACAATTAAATACAAATGAAACATTAAACAAACGATAACATATTTTAGCATCCCGCTACCACTTTCCTATCAATGTTGAATTTTATTCAGCTTCATACAGATTTTCAGAAAATATCAACTTCTAATTAGTCAATACACTTACAAGTGGGCGTTGCAATCCACCTACGTACAAATAATTTTCCAGCGCGTGACCAAGTCAAGTTTCCCGCCAATTTTCTGCGATCCTGTCAAGTGACCATATTAATTATAAATAGCAGGCACGAGCTCTCTCTCTGTCTGTCTGTCTGTCTGTCTGTCTGTCTGTCTCTCTCTCTCTCTGTCTCTCTCTCTCTCTCTCTCTCTCTCTCAGATGTAACCTTCAAGGATCTCGTCTCGAACATGGGTGGTCAGACGTTAAAAGCATTTTCACGCATGCACGTACGTACGAAATTTTCCAAACTACATTACAAATATACGAAGCATTTCCAAACAAGCAACAGGAACTTTTCTCTTTGAAATATTTTTCTAAAGCTGCAGTTTATTCAGCATTTTTCAGCTTTATAATTCATTCAACTTTTGTGAGCTCAGATAAAAATATTTCAATTTCATAATTCAGTCAAAGGGACATAACCCCAAAATCTCTACGCATGTACACACAAAAATAAATATAAATGTTGATGTTATAAAAGTAAAACCGTTTTTATTCCTTCTTGTGTTTCATATTCTGTGATATTTTGCTTTAAATCGTGTTGTCATGCTAATAACAGACATCTACAAATGGTCCATTCTTATTAACATACCACAACAATATGAGCATAAACTTATTTTAATACATAACTAAAACTATTTAACAATATTTTAAATATTTAAAAAATATCTTTTGCCATATTTAAAAAATATTTTCAAGTGAATATGATTTTAAAATATTTTTTGGCATATTAAAAATATATTTTACGTTAATGAATGGATTTAAAAAAATATTTTAAGTGAATAAGATTTAAAAATACGAGTTGTTTATACAGCAAGTTTTTTTGTTTTATTTTGTTTTGTTTTGTTTTTTTTCCAGCTTTCTTCAAACAGACAATATTTTAATTTTGAAATCAACTTCAATGTTTTATAACCTGAACTCTGTCAGTGACCCAATGGGTCACGCGTAGTCTAATAGTATTATATAGTTCAAGTTGGTGGGGGAATGGGATGACAAAATTTTTAAGAAGTGTTGGCTTTTTTGACGATTCAGGATACAAGTATAATTTAACATGGCAAAGTAGGTTAAGGGTTAGATGTGGCTTTGTAATTTCTGTCTGTCGATATTGGCTTTAGGCTTTATATGAGAAAACGTGTCATCCTGTCTGTTTTTTTTATTATTATTATTATTTAGGGCCATACATAAGATACACCACAATACACTGACATTTTTATTTTGTAAAATACATTGGGATTTTCTTAAGGGGGATTTCAATATTTTATATATTTTTATTTATAAAGATTTATTATATTTATTAGTCTACTAGATACGGTATTTTTAAAATTAAAATATTAGGATTTAATTACGCATTTTCTTACTTTCTTATTTATGATCAAATAATAGATATATAATTTATGCATTTTTTATGATTAATTATTTTTTAAATTAAAACATAATACAATGTCTACAAAAAACCGTTATTTCTTCTTCTTTTTTTCATTTAATAAATCTTTATTTTTCAGAAATTTAATAATACACAACTTTTCATGTAGACACGAAAGACATGGGTCATTTAAAGATCTAGAAGTTTTCGTTTTTTTAATAATTTCCATTTTACTGTGGATGTTTTATTTGTTTCTTTTAAATGTCTATTATGCGTTCGAAACCATACAAAAATAAAGAAAATTGACGATATCTTGTTGGAATGTACGAACACTTGTGGATAACCCTTTAGGATCTGCCCCTGAACAAAAAAAACGGCTCTGATTTCTAAGGAGATCGGGAAATACACGATTGATATAGCTGCTCTTTTGGAAACACGTTTTGTTGATGTTTGTAACAGCATAAGGAACTCTTTAATGTATTGAGTTACCTGCCCTTGTTTAACCCCTTGTATGTAGTAGTCCTTGACATGTAAATAAAAGAAGTAGACATCACAGTTATCCTGTCTCTCGTATCTTCATTGAATACCCGCAGTATTACATGGTGGCAGCGGCGGTGAATTGCAAGCATTGAAAGAAACCAGACAGACCAGAAGTTAAAGAAGATAATTTCACACAGTGAACAAATCAGCGAAAAGTTGACTTTATTTTCAAACGTAAAAGAAGCGCGAAACAGAAAAAAGAAACATGGCGTCTTCCAACATAACACTACCCGTTCTGGACTGGTCTAATGAAAACAAACACGAGGCGTATAGCGAATGGGTCGACTTTATGTCGTCATATTTCATTATCAACAAAGTTGAAGAAAAACTGAAATATAACTATATTTTGCTTAGCACCGGACCAAAGGGTCGGGAACTATTGAAAAATGCTCAACTCACGAGCGAACAAAAAGAAGCGTCTCAAAACATATTTACAGTATTCGAAACGCACATGATCCAAAAACCAAACAAATGGGTCGAGCGTTTAGAGTTTTCTTCAATGCGTCAGAACGAAGATACAGTAGATGACTACCTAGTCAGACTGAAAACTAAAGCCGACAGATGCGACTTCGGGAACAATAAAGACGAACGCATTCTGGAACAAATAATAAAAAGGGCTTAGGAGCGCTGACGAAAGGAGAAATTTAATAGCCAAACCGGACCTAACCCTCAAATCAGCTATAGAAAGTATCAGGGCGTATGAGATAACAACAAAAGACAATTCTCGATACAAGGACGCCAACGAGGGAAGAAAAAAGTATTCTATGAAATTTCTAAAAGAAATAAACCCTGTACGAGATGTGGGCAAATCCACAGGAAAAATAAAGAAGACTGCTATGCCTTCAACAAAACGTGCCGGAGATGCAGTGGTTTACATCACTTCGAGGAATACTGCCTGACAAATATGCAAGGCCGGAGAAACCCGAAGGATAATTTCAGAGAAAAAATAAAACAGGATAACAGCTCACATAGAGCTAAGAAACAAATCCCCCAAAACGGATATAGAAAGCAAAGCTTTTGGAAAAAAAATATAAGCACAACATCGAGACAAGAAAATGAATCCGACGAAGATGACTTGTATTTATATACAATAAATACGGAGAACGACAAACGAGAGGAAATTTTCGCCAACATAGACTGCGTGGATACAGATAATAAACAACACAAAATAAGAATGAAGGTCGACACAGGGGCGAATGGCAATATTCTACCAGTCAGAATATACAAAAAAATGTATCCATATAAAAACAATGGCGACGAAAAAATTACAAACAAAAAAAAGGGGACAAAGGAGCTAACCCTGAAAATCTGAAACAAGAGTTAACTACACTTTGGGCTGCAAATGGCACGAAAATAAATCACTACGGATCGATCATACTAAAAATAAGACACAAAGACTCTACAAGTATCAGAGCAAAATTTTTTTGTGTGCGATAGCGACACCACAATATTGGGTCTAAGACCATGCATCCGACTTGGTCTTGTAACGGTTAACTGCAGCATAACCAAAGTGCACACACTGAACCAAGTGCAAAGCATAGACGATCTTGTAAAAGAGTACCCCGATAGATTTCAAGGCATAGGGAAGTTCCCAGGCCTTCAAAAGATACATCTAGTTGAAGATGCAACACCGGTGGTCCAACCGCCAAGAAAGTTTCCAGTGCACATTAGAGCAGAATTAAGAAAAGCACTTGACAAAATGGAACACATAGGGGTTATAAAAAAAGTTATAGAGCCTACGGAATGGGTCAATGCTATCGCATGTAGCAGGAAAAAAAATGGAGCTCTGCGAATTTGTCTGGACCCCAAACCATTAAATAAATGCATCAAAAGGACGCATCATAAAACACCAACGTCGGAAGAAATATCACACAAATTAGCAGGTGCAAAATACTTCTCTAAGTTGGACGCAAAACATGGATACTGGGCGATACAACTCGATGAAGAATCGAGCATACTCACATGTTTCAACACTCCATTTGGTAGATATAGATATCTGAGATGTCCTTTTGGCCTAAAAATGTCACAAGACATCTTCCAACAGAAAATGGACCAAATTTTGGAAACATGCAATGGAGCCATCGGTATATCCGATGACATCTGCGTATACGGCAGAACAATACAGGAGCATGACCGAAACCTGATAAAGACAATGGACACAGCCCGAAAATACGGCCTAGTCCTTAACAAAGAAAAGTGCTCCATCAAACAAAAACAAATCAAGTTTTACGGTCTCATCTGGGATGAGAATGGTTCTCACACAGACCCTGACAAATGCGATAAAATAAAGTCGAAGCCAGCACCCACCAACAGAGAAGAACTCCAACAACTTCTAGGTATGATCCAATACCTAAGTCCCTTCATACCAGATCTCAGCTCCAAAACAGCTCCACTGAGGTCACTACTCAAAAAGGATGCAAAATTTCAGTGGAACGAGACACATGGCAAAACTTTCCAAATATTCAAAGATCACATCCATGAAAAACTTTGTTTGGCATATTTTGATCCCAATTCAGAGACAGTCATTCAAATCGATTCAAGCATGCTAGGGCTAGGTGCAACACTCATCAATAACAACAAAGTTGTCGCCTTTGCAAGCAAAAGACTGACCGACACAGAATCGCGATATGCCAACATAGAAAGAGAGTTACTCGCAGTAGTATTCGGGTGTGAGAGATTTCACACATACATTTATGGGAAAAAGTACTGGTCGAAACAGACCACAAACCCTAGAAAACATTCAAAACAAGAATATATCACAAGCACCTCCACGGCTACAAAGAATGTTACTAAGATTACAGCCATATGACGCACAAATTACATACAAACCTGGAAAAGAAATGTGCATTCCAGACTATTTATCAAGGAACCAACCGACTTCAGGCAAAGAGATCCAACTCGACCTAACAATACACACCGTCAATATAACAGCTCAAAAACAAATGGAACTGCAAAATGCAACTGATGAAGATGAAGAGCTGAGAATACTGAAACAGGTGATATTAAATGGATGGCCAGACGATGTAAAAAATACACCAAAAATAATCAGACGCTACTGGTCACTAAAAAGAATGCCTATCAGTACAGGACGGTATTGTCACAAAGGGACAGTCCATAGTCATACCCAAAAGTATGCAACACACAGTACTACGGAGAATCCACGATGCACACCAAGGTATCGAAAAATGCCAACTGAGAGCAAAAAACAGTGTGTTCTGGAAAGGAATACACAAAGACATAGAAGCGTTAGTAAGGAAATGCGAGATCTGCAGAGAGCATCAGAGGAAAAATGCAAAAGAAACAATGATTATAAAGGAACATGCAACGCGACCATTTCAGAATGTCGCAGCAGACATCTTTGAATTCAAGGGTCAACAATTCCTACTGATAGCTGACCAGTATAGCAAAATGCCATTTGTGAAGACACTGAAAAATATAACTAGCACTAGTTGCATTGAATATTTCAAAGCAGTCTTTGCTGTCCATGGCATTCCGGAAAGGCTATACACGGACAACGCCAGGTACTTCGTATCCAACGAATTCCTCAATTTTGCCACAGAATGGGAGTTCACTCATATTACATCGAGCCCCAGGTACCCACAATCAAACGGGTTTATAGAACGCATGGTCCAAACCGTAAAGAAAACATTTACAAAAGCCAAACAATCAAAAATGGATTGTCAAATGGCCCTTCTATGTCTCAGAGCAACCCCACTAGACAGCCATCTACCATCCCCGGCAGAAATCCTATACAATAGGAAGATAAGGACAAGACTTCCAACCTTGTTAAACACAGACACCCCAAAAGATCACGAGATCAGAGAAAGATTGTGCGCCAAAAGCAAAAAGCAGCAACAATATTACAACAAAAATGCAAAGGATCTTCCAGAATTAATTGTTGGGAGTAAAGTGTCTGTGTTACAGGAAAATGACACCTGTCAACCGGCGACAGTGGTTGATAAAAGCGCAGAACCACGCAGCTACATTGTCAGAATGCATGGCGATGGAAGATTACTGAGGCGTAACAGACGACATCTGCAAGAATTATACAACCCTCAGAGACAAACCAGCATCAACACACCCATTCAAGAGACGAGTTGGGACGATATAACACCACCGTCCCAACAACATGCTGACCCACTAGAAGTCAGTACTCCATCCAATAATAATGGATACACGGCAACAGACAACCCAGGGCAACCAGTCGAGTCGAACCAACAGCCAGAATTACTGACCAAAGACCGACCCAAAAGAGCACGGCGAGCCCCTCAAAAATACAAGGACTTTGTATTATTCAAATAAATGAATATATATATATAAAAAAAAAAAAAAAGACACAACACCTTTTTCTTAACAAAGGGGATGTAACAGCATAAGGAACTCTTTAATGTATTGAGTTACCTGCCCTTGTTTAACCCCTTGTATGTAGTAGTCCTTGACATGTAAATAAAAGAAGTAGACATCACAGTTATCCTGTCTCTCGTATCTTCATTGAATACCCGCAGTATTACAATGTTGATCAACTGCAGCAGGTTGGAGGTGGCTACACCTTTTTCTGGAATAGCAAGAAAGTTGACGAAAATAGAGGCTGGTGTGGGTTTTGCTACTGGTAGCAAACTTGTGCCAAGCCTTGTAGAGCTCCCAAAGGTGTCAATGGACGTTTGATGACCCTACGCCTAGCCCTACATGATCTCATTGTGCCACTTGTAGTTGATGCCTGTGCACCGACACTGGACAGTGATGAAGTTGTAAGAGCTCAGTTCTATGAGTCCTTAGGGAGAGTACTGAATTAGGTGCCGTGGGGTGACAAGATTATCCTTCTCAGTGACTTTGTACAGATTGGAAAAGCCTGGAGCAGTCTTGGTAGATATATTTCTGGGAAAACTAACTCCAACATTTAACGCAGTTCAAGAACAAGGATGACTATGTCACCACATGGATGCATTCTCCGCTCCCACAAGTGGCATCTGATTGATTATGTCGTCATTCGCAAGAGAGACATTCAGGACGTGCACAAAAATTTTGTATGTTTCTTCACGATCTTGAATGGTCATCTGTAAAGTGACTGCAATATCTGCGACTTGATCGAGCGGGGTACTAAAATTTAGGATATCTCATCTGGATATTGAATAGTCTCTGTAAGGTGACTGCAATGCATGTGACGTGACATAACCGGGCAACTAAAATTTAGGTCGTCTCTTCAGGATGTAGAATGGTCCTATGTAACGTGACAGCAGCGTGTGTGCCCTGATCGAGCCGCACATTAAAAAATGTGTTTAAATGACTTAGGATTTTAGGTCCATATATGAGTTTTTTTTTTATCTCCGTTGCCAATAATGTATTTCTAATTAATGTTTTTTTTTTTTTATCGAATTTGAATTTATAAAAACAATCATTTTGAAAGTAGATATGATATTCATGGTGGTATTTATTTACATTTTTATGTGTAACTATGTCTGCTTTTTACGTACATTCCGAAGATTAAAAACGTTCGTATCTGAAATACATTGTTTGTTAGAAAAGACATGTAATCGAAGTGCCAATTTCCAGTCTAGTTCGTTACATTTCGTTAGAAATACCCTTGGGAAATTCATGAAATCATCTCTTCTCCCCAGCTCTGAGTTACATAACCGGGCTGGCTGGCTGCGTTCTTTAGCATGGGTAGTTTACCAGCCTAGTCGAAAGTCAATATCCGATTTCCAAGCCGTTTGGACATGGGGTAACATTCCACATGTAAAAACCTACTTTCTATGGGAAACAGAGCAGCAACTACTACTAGCGTTGTTGGTAGCTGTTGCTCCATACTCCTCAGTCAGTTTTCGATCTTCTTGTCTACTCGTCTACTGCTACAGCTACCCTTGTCTACTCTACTGTCCTCTACTCTGATCCTCTTGTGACGGAAGGGTCGTTTTTATAATGATGAGGGTTAGGGTGTTGAAATATCCTTCTTTTCTATCATTTCTGATGACAAGGTTATGTTATAAAAAAAATAAGGCATATCACGGCTGATTTACAGGCATATACGCAAGAGCGAGAGCCAGATGTGTACGGGACAAAACCCCGTCACAAAATGACCATTATCTTCATTGACAAATGTTCCCGACACTCGAGTTCCGGTCGAAAAATAAAATAATATTTAAAGTGTTCTATTTTTCGTCCAATAAAAATGCTTCCCTCCTACTCGCTTCGTTTTTCGATCCTGTTAAGCCATAAAACAACGCTATAAAAGGGGTCACACGGAAGTTCAACAGCAGTCAACAGGTGCCCATTCAGTCGTTCAACTCTGAAACGACTGTTCGGTTGTACCCTCTTCTTACCGACGGGAGGAACCCGAAGGAGGCTACGGGGAGGTAAAACCGGCCCTGAACCCGTTTATACGGATTCAATGGGCATATTTTTGGCCGAGACCACGGGCTCGGAATGCCCACGTTAAAAAGGCCTTGTGCCACATGACACCCTCGTGGGGGGGATGACTGAATATCGTCAACAGGTGCCCAGAGTAGAAACCTGTCAGCAGGGGAGCATCAACCACCGTCAACATGTGTGAACTACTATGAAAGATCGACCTATATCCGAAACCGGCTTACAAACTTTACCACAAGGTAGCTGTCCCAAACCCACACGTTCCTGTTGAAATAAACCACGTAAATCTATTTCTGCTGTTGTCGTATTTCTTTCTTGCAACCATACGCTTGTCTATAACAGTTATTTTTTTATCATCCTGATGGTGAGGTTATTTTTAGAATGGTGTCAATTATTGCTGACATCGATATATTATTGACAAAATATTATTGACGATTATTATTGATATCGACATATTATTTTTAGAATGATATCATGATCATTCTGGATCATAACAGACATTTCTGAATTTTGGTGTGAATGTTAGTAAATATATTCAATGATAAATTAATATTTTGGGATTAATTAACAGAAAAGATCTCAAATTTCTTTGAAATGCGAAAGTGAAAATTATAATGTATGTGGGTGTGTAATAGACATTTACAATTAAAAGAGAAAGTCAAGTTTATCATGAAAGTAAATTTCTTTAATACGAAAGTTAAAAACTGAAAGTAAAATTTCGTGGAAAAAGAATGTAACTCTCGGTCACAGTACTGAATTAGTCGGTAAACACAACTACTAATCCTCTTCAGACTCTTCACTCTTCCTTCAGTCTTCTCAGGTAAGAGAGCACATATTCCAACCAAACTATATTCCATTCACGCTTCTTAATGATTGTTAATCGAGTCTTTTAATAAAAAAGTGATTTTCTCGCAAGATGTTTATGTCGGCTTTTCAACTTGCCGCATAGTTGTTGTTCATAACATAAAAAGTTCTTCGCTACCTACATTTCTTTCTTCTGCAATGGTAACTATAGCGAGAACTATGATCCTCCAGAACCTGAAGGGACACGTCACGTAAAAATTACAGTCTGGTTACAACAATGATTCGATTTTGTGACAGGATTCAATCTACAAGTGTTCATTTTATTTTAAGTTATTTTTTCTTCCTAATTCTCTTTATTAATTTTAAATAGCAGTAAGCTTACTAGCTTTTTTAATTTTATTCAATGAAAATGTTAAGCAGTTTAAAAAAGATAAAGGAGAAAATGTATTTAATTTACTGTCGAAATTCACTGGCTGTTTTGAAAAAGTGAAAGTAAAAAGTGGGTTATGACGAGAAACAGACGTTGAATCGTAGTTTTGTAGTTGATTATTATTAATTTACAACAGAGATTGAGTTTTTTTGATAATCAGTTTTTTTTATTGATTTTAATTTATTTCATTTTATTTTTAATTACTTAACTGATTTTTATTTTATTTTATTTTTATTCAATTCTTCATTTTTTATTTTTATGTTCTGTATGTTTATATTTATTTTACATTTCATGTTTTAAATTTTATTTATTTTTATATTTCATCTTTCTGAAATCAGATTACTATATTTTTAGCGACAAAAATCAATATTATAATTTTTTAGTCTCTTCTTGACCCAATATGGCAAATAAAACAATGGATAAAGAAATTTTTGTCAGGTTTTTACTAAAAACTTTTTAGTAAAAGGAGGTCAATTCAGAATTACTTCCCCTTTGAATTTCTATACAAACAAATAATCTCTAACAACAGCTGCAAAAATGTAAAGAATAAAAAAATGAAATTCTTTTTTTTTTTAAAAAGTTCACACTCGAAAATGGGATTTAACTTGACATTTTTTAAATTCTTCAGACAAGTTATTTTTTTAATTAAAAAAAAAATAACCCTGGTTCAGGTTATGCGTTTGAAATTCAAAATCCTACTGAAAAATTACAAGTATATTCTTTCTTTACAAATAAATAATCAGCATAGATTTCTTTCCCTGTCCAATCTGAAAAAAAAAGCACTAACTTTCAAAAAAATATATTTTGAGTTTTTTTTTTTGTTAATGTTCGTGGGGGGTGGTTGAGGCGGTCCGCCTCGGGCGGCACTTTTAGTCCACGTTGAGTTTTAAGAAAAGAAAGAGAATTGCATGATTTCAATAATTTTTGAAAAAAAAAAAAAAAAGAAAAGAAAGAAGTGATAAGGAAGATAGGGTTCAAAATCAAATGAAGCGAATTTGTCTTTGATATGGTTGGCTTTTTTTACCCAGCCAGCCAGCAATAAACAAAAAAAAATTGTCTCCAAAATGCGCTGTCAGCTGGTGGGGGAAAAACCCCACTTACAATACTTGAGCAAAAGGCGTGAAAAAACTTTGAACATTTTTAAATGGCTTAATGTGGGATTGGATTAAGAAATGAATTTAGTGAATTCAGTTTTTATACACCTATGTGAGAAGTCCAGACATTGCCCTTAGTTCTTTGATTTTGATTTTTCATGTCTGTGAACTGTTAGTCAAGTGGGAAAAAAAAATTAAAATAAACAAGTTAAACTAAAGTGAACCAATTATGTTTTTTTGTTGTTGTTGTTTTTTTTTTTTGTTTGTTTGTTTGTTTCTTTCTTTCTTTTATTATATACCTAGCTTTAATACAGATATCCTTAGTTTTCATAAATTAAAAAATAGATAAATAAATTGAAATAATTTCAATGCTTTCAAGGATGTCACATGCATTCCAATTTTTTCCGGAAATATCGACCGGAAATTTTAAAAAAAAATTTCAATTTTCTTTTAAGTACGGAAACTTTAGTCCAAAAATGAACTTTTTTTTTCAATTTACAAATTTTCACGGTAGTAAATCAATGTAATAATTGAAATATTAAAAAAAAAATGATAAATTATGAAAAGTACAATGTGTTTTTAGTTTGTTTTTTTTAATACAACAGAGGATAAAACAAAAGCAAGTTATCTTTCTTTTAATAAAATGTTTTTAAAGTTTTCCCGACTTAGAAAAAAAGAAATAACGTCTTCGTTTTTTGTATTTTTTTTTTTTTTTTTACATATCCCTAGTTTTATTTTTCTTTAAATTAATAAACGCAATATTGTACTTTTATTTCGTAAAATATCAGTGTGGAGTTAAAATACCACGTTAACAGAAACACGGAAAAAATAGAATTAATTAGATTCTGAGAAATGGAGAAAAAAAACTAAAAGATTTCCTTGAACTTTCTCTACTCAGAATCTCAGCAGTGGCAGTACCGTAGCTACTTTTTTTGCCGCCCAAGGCGACCCTCATGTTGGCCGCTCCTCCTCCAGAAGGAATAGTATTACAATGCACATTTAACCCCATATAATATATATATAGTCAACGACGAAATTATTCGTACACCCATCAATTCTTAATATTTGCCACTGCTTAAATTTCCTTGAACTTTCTCTACATAGAGAGCCTCGAAATAATAAAAATTTAATCTCATTTTCTTTGTTTCACACTCTTCTTCTTGTTTATCTATTTTCTCAACTAATTCAACACTTGTAGGTTATGTTCGTCAATGTATGTCACTTTCTGAACTTTACACAACGACCTTAAACCTCTCTAGCAAGAAAAATATGTCCAATGATGCACAGCGAACAACCAAGTAATTAACAAACTACTTTTGACTGGTAGAACTTTAGAGCATAATTGCCACAAAATAATATTCAGTCAGTTTATATTAATTATGACGATAATATGAATTTAGATTAAATTTTTTAAAAAATTAATTACAACTGAAATGAAATGGCACAACTAATTTCTTAGCGAAAGACCAGTTAATTAAATTTTTCAATTAAACCCTAAAGTCAGGTCATTATATAACATTTTTGTACTCTTAGGAAATTATTCAAGAATAAATAAAATTATATTTTATTTTAAAAAATATTTGTAGAAATATTTTTTGTTCTGTTATTGAATAATAAAAAAAAACATATTGAGAGATGTTGTTATTATTACAGATAAAAGAAAAGTGAAACTCAAATAAACCAAGCTACTCAGAAAATTTCGTTGAACTACGGAAGTAGAAAATTGAAAGCAAAATTTCGGTGAAAAGAATATAAAAATCACTTGTTAGACACAGGAGTCAGGAACACACTTGAAATATGGCGTTGTTTGTTAATAATCAGCCTCAGCAGGTAAGAGAGCACATATCCAAACTACATTTTCTTCATTCATTAACTAACTCTTTTCTTAATTCAACATAGAAAAGTGATTTTCTCTCAGGTTGTTATCAACTTGCCGCATAGTTGTTGTTCATAACATCGCTATCTACACTTCTTAAGCAATAGTAAATCCTCCACATCCTAAACTTTAAAGGGATACGGCACATTGATAGAGATTACAGTACACTGATTCGATTTAATGTCAGGATTCAATCTACAACTGATAATTGGTGTTATTTCTCTTTTTTTTTCCTTCTTTTTGATGACTTATTATTCCCCTTGTTAAATAAAGAAAATTTCTTCCTAATTCTCTTTATCAATTTTAAATTGCAGTATCTTATAAGTCTGTTAATTTTTTTATTCAACGAAAAATGTGTTAAGTAATTTAAAAAAAATAAAGATAAAGAAAAAAATCATATTTAATTTCCCCAAGAAATTCAATGGGCGTTGTTTTGAAAAAGTGAAACTCAATAAAACCCCAAAAAGTGGGTCATCAAGAGAAATAGATGTAGTTTCTTGGTTATTATAAATTTTACAACAGAGTTTAATTTTTTTAATAATCAGTTTTTTCATCGAATTTATTTTACTCAATTTTATTCTTATTTAAATTATTTTTTAATTACTCGATTTTATTAATTTTATTTAATTCTTGCTTTTTATATTTCAATTTATTTTATTTTTATATTCTATATTTTTACATTTCATCTTTCTGAAATCAGATCATTACATATGAAAAAAAAATTTAATGATGAAATGAACATGATGAATTTTATTTTTCCTTCTTCTGTCGTTACCTAAAATATGGTTCCGGTCGTGTTGATGGTTGGACGTTGTAGGACTGGCATTACTGGTCGAGGTCGAAACCTCCCGTAGTAATTACAACCGATAGTATTCAGGGAAGGTTGGTTGGCCTTCACAGGTGATCGATGTTGGTCGTTGCAGATGATCGTTGCTGGTCGACTGGTCTGGTTTAAAACTGGACGTGTCCGGAAGGAACGGGAAGCTGGCGTTGCGTGTCTGCTGGTCGAGTCCGGTATCGAAAGCTCCAGTAATAATCTTAACTGTAGTGTACAGGAAAGGTTACAGGCCATGTGCAGGCAGCCAGTAAGGACGGAATGCTGGGAGTCTAACCTGGGCAAGGAACCAGAAGTAAGAAGGCGAAGTAAAGAGAGAAAGACAAAAAAAGAGTTGGCAGACAAAAAAAAAAAAAAAATAATGGGAGCGTACGGAACCCGAAGGAATTCCGCGAGAAGTCGCTGTGTTATGCTAAGGGAGACTAATAACAGAAATGGTCTCGCTAAAATGCTATAAAATCTCTCTAAAAAATGAGTTAGATTTGCTACGCAAAAACTAAGGTCTAAAAATCCTTAGAGGTGTATTACGACGAGGTTCGTAATACCAATGAACTAAAAGGTAATTAGCTCATCTCTAAAACGAAATTACCAACGTGTAGGGAACACTATCGAAAGGTCAAGGTTGAAATGCTCTGTTCTCTTCCGCTTTAGGGAGTGATGAAAGGCGGCTGCGACAATGCTAAATGACGTAATAATTTAATGTCTAATAAATGAAAATAAGTAAATGTTTTGTTGATTTTTACCTTATTTTTTTTTTAGTTATTTATGTATTTAAAATAATAGGTTTTAAATTTAACAGTTTTCTTTTAATTTTTTAACATTTTTATAGCCATGTATGTCTATGACTCATTATGACATATTTTTAACCCTCATTTTTTCCTTCAAATACAAATTTATTTATTTAAATGGGTACATACTTTTAAGTTGACATTTTAAATGACAGTTGCCAAAGAGATAAAGAAATCCCGCTAATGAAAATAATCTTTCCGGCCGGAAAACCTGTATTGAACCTCTATTCCCTTTTACCATCAGGGATACTAGTCTTGAATTGAGGCCAATTATTTCATTAATATGCCTTCCTGTTATAACGAGTGTATGGTTTCAAGGGAAGGAACAAAGATTGAAATTTCAACAGCGTGTATTGATAAAATTTCAGAATATATACATAGCTGTGTGAAGAGAACAAAATTGTTGATATATTGTTCTTTAGTTGCCTTTGTTAAGGGAAGAGATTGGGTGTAAGGGTATTATTGTTGGTAAGAGATTGGGTGTAGGGCCGAGAGTTGACTGATTTGTTGGGTTGGTTGGTTGATGTTACAGTTGGTGTCAAAAGAGAGGTCCAGGGCAGATTAATGAAGTCAGTGGAATGTCATTGGCGAGGTTGACATCTTTCTTCAGGGTTGAAATCAATACTGGTGAGGTGTTGATGGGCCAGCTGTCATGTGACGAAGCTGCATTGTTGAAAGCAAATAGCTTGTTGCCAGTGGGGATGATTCATGGTAAGGCCTGGCAAGATGAGGCTACGGTGATTGGTTGATTCAAGTAAAGTATATTGATGAGTTGGTGACTAAGGTTAAGTTGGTGGCGACGAGAGAGGCACAGAGAGGATAGTGAAGCTTGATCGAGCGGAATGTTTCTGTTGGAAATGGGAGATCAACAAAACAGGGTCACGGTGATGACAATGAGAGATATCTGGTGTGGATAATATAAGTACCTCCACTTATTTTGTTGAAAAAACAGCACAGCATGATGAAAAATGTTATGTTATTATTAAGAAGAAAGGGCAAAGTACTTTTTGATTATTTTTTTAATTTTTAATCCCTTCTAGTACATGTGAAATTTTGGTTAAAAAATTTTGGTTAAAAAATGTTGTTTTCTTTACGTCGGCGGCCAACGTAATAATTGCGATTAGTGTTTTTGCACTTTTTTTCTGGTGAAAAGAACAATGATTTGGAAATTCTTGTAAATATTAAATAATTGTCGGATTTTAATGAAACTTTCAAGACATATTCGCAAATTTATTTTTCAGAAAATCTTGGTAAAAATTTTTTTTTTTTTTTACATATATTACTTCCACTTCCATAAAATTTAGAGAAATTCAATTTTTAGGGTGGGAATTTTTTTATTAGTTAAAAACAGGACTCCTTGAAAAATGTAAATCATCATTTTCTTTTCTTTTTTTTTTTTTTTTTTTTTTTTTTAAACCAGCTAACCCATTCACCGAAAATATGCTCTGAATTGTAAAATAAAAAAATGCAATAAAACTATGACATTATTTAATTAGGAAATCTTTTAATTGCTTTTATAATTAAGATTTATTAAGGACACTGTTGTCTTAAAAAGAATTTTTCTCGATGAATAATTAATTTTTACAAGAATTGTTTTTCTTTTTTTTTTTTTCAATTTTAATGAAATAATTTATAAAATCGTTTAAAATTCTGCATTACTTGAAGGCAGTTAGGGGATATTATTATTAAGTGAAAACTACATTTATGAATCAAAAATTGCAAAGTCGCCTGTCCCCATATTTTAAAAAATGTTTAGTGTATAAACGTTCCCATTTTGTAACTATGGTAATCCATACATGACATAATCCTTAAAAGGTCAAGTAATTTAAGTGTTGTCTGGCGCTCTGCAATTCTTTCGCTTTCATTATTCATTTGTTTCATTGCAAACCATCCCATCAAAATTTTAAAGTAAGTTTTCCTTTTTTTTTTTAAATATTGTTTAGAGTATTGGGTTAAAATAATAAAAGTTTAAACAATTACGTAATTAATAATAAAATTTCAAATACTATAAACATTTAACAATAAAATAACCATCATGATAACAATAATAAAGAATAAAGTGAAAAAATATATTAAAAAATATAAATTAAGAATAAATAAAATACCATAACATTTCATAGATTATTGATTTTTACTTCTATCATGGTATTTCATCTCAGTTATTAAATTTTAAAATTAATCAAAAAAATTATATTATTTTAAATTTTATTTTTTCATAAAACATCTTCAAACACAACTAAAAGTCAATAAAATATTAGATAATTGCTGAAAATATGTTTATTTGTAAAAATTACTAAGTAGTTATAAACAAAAAAAATGCATTCACTGATATTTCGTAAATTCTGGTTATCCATACTAGCTGACAACACCTCGTAGCTCATCGATAACGCCAATAAAAAAAGACATGAGAAAAACAGAACTCATTGTTAAGAAATGCTTGTTTATTATTTTTTTTTATGCTATAAGTAATAGATGTTTCAAATCAGATTAATTTAACTTTAAATTTGCTAATTTTACTCAAATAATGTGTCACAAAAATATATTTTATTTTTGGAAAATTTTTAAAACCAATAATTAAATTTTACTTTAAAATTTGTTAAAATCTAAGAAATGGTTGCCAGTAAAGTTTTTTTTTTTTTTTTAAATCGAGCAAATATTTGGCATTCCAATTTATGTAACTTCTATTTGAAATACATCAGTGTATTTTACCTAGTGGAAATAGGCAATTTAATCCTTTAGATTTCAATTAAAGCTAAAAAGAATACGTTTTCATTTTTTTAAAAATCATTTTAAACCTTAGGTATCAAAAATCTTGGCAAAAAGTGGAGGTACCGAGACTGTTAAGCATTTGGTAGCAAGAGAAGGGAATAGTGAGCATTAAATTTTGAGTAACTTTTATTGTTGGTAGGTCATACAGAGACGTTGAAGGCTGTGTGGTATGTCTGTTTCAGGATGGCGGTTGGGCAGCGCCGGGGGTGACCTAATTCTTGTATGTGTTTAGTATGAGGTCACAGGATACGGATGGTCCTGTGTTAGTTGATCGAGGTCACGGTGGAGGGTAATATATTGTACTGATATGTCAAAGCTAGGTGAAATGTCAGTTTCTGTGGTCGATCTTCGGGGTAGCGATCTGGTGTAAGCATAATTCTGGGAGTTCA